AACATGGAATATTACTCAGCATTCAAAAAAGATAACCACATGCAATTTGCAGCAACATGGATGGCGCTGGAAGGGATCATGCTCAGCGAAATAAGCCAGAAAGAAAAAGAAAAATACCGGATGGTCTCACTCATAGCAGGAATCTAGAAAACTTAAATAAGGGACCAGGAAAATGAATAACTATAAGAAAGTGAAAATCAAAATCAACAAACAACTATGAACCAGAGACACTCTATAGGGGGTGGGAGGTGGGGAGGGGAGGGATTGGGGTCAAAATAAGGGGGTTGCAATTGTATGGGGAATATAAAAATAAAATTTATTTTAAAAAAAGTAAGTCACCTTAGAAATATCAGAAATCCTTTAAAACATTTCTGGTTTTTAGGTATTACTGTTAAGTAATTCTGCTGCCTCAGGAGCAACACTGTAAAGACGCATGCTTCACCTTCAGCATAAAGGTGTGCCCATTATTGCTCTACAGACTTAAACAAGCGCAATTCAGGTGTGTACCTGGTTATCTGAAAACTCATTTTCAATCGGAAATGCGACCATAAATTATTTCCATGATTATTTTTCAAAGTCTACTTTTATCCACACATTTACTAAATATTTACTAAAATACTATCCAAAAAAAAAGTAAATGGCTTTGAGTTTCCCCTCTTGTCTCTACTCAGTCTTTTCTTTGAAGGGTGAGGGGAGTTAGAGCCAGGATGTAAAGAGCATTAAGGAGGAGCAGCAAGCCTCCTAAATGAACACAGACAATCAGTAGTTAGTTCTCTGAATACTCTAGAGTTGACAGATTAGAGAATGAAGCCTGTAATTTTCATCTCTAACAAACAGGTCTATGAAGGTAACAAATGGGGAAAACAAAATAAACATCTGAAAAATGTTCCTACCTCTTGGGGTTCTCTTCAGAGATTTTACCCCCCAAAAATCCTTTCTATGTTTTATTAAATCTCCTAATTCTTAAATGTGAATTCCTTTCAATGGCAAAACAAGATATAAATCAATACTTAGTCCATGTGAAGATAGTTAATGAATTCTTTGAAGTTATTCTTGAAGAAGCTTCTTCTGTCTAATTAAAGGGATGATTTTAAAGAAGGAGGAGGAAAGAGAGAAGGTGAAAGAATAGTGCAGGGGAAATGACCTTTTATTAAAGATCAAAATGTCAACTCAAGTTTAAAATTGATAGAAACACCCATTCTGTCATGTTCTAAATTATATAGCATCTCTGGCTGGGAAGAGTTGGCCATCATAGGCCAAGCCGAGGAAGGACTGGTGATCAAACACAGCCATCTACATACATGCAGGAGAATTTCTCTAGTATCTACCTACAGAATACAATTAACTCAGCTATACACCAAAAATTATTTTCAAGGAACACAGTTCAAAGATTTAGTTCCTTTTTTGCTACCCCTTCACAATAAAATATTTGTAAGGATTTGACAACCTTTGACACAATAATATCAGTTGCAATACATATAAAGTCTACGCAATTTTACAAAGTACATTTTAATCGAAGCTACACATATTTTCTGACCTTTAAGAGCCCAAAGAATCAAAATAGCTGTACCAGTAGTGAGAAATATGATAAACAAGCAATTGCTTATCAAACATAAAGCTGGCTCTGAATACTTTTTTGTATTTGAGGCTGACATAAGTAGTTTACTCTGTCTGGAAATTTTAAATCAATTGCCAAATGTAAATGGCACTCTTGAGCTTATGCCAGAAGTAGGTTTTTTTAACCTTCGAAGCCTTACTACTACTCAATAGCAACTAAAATCTTCAAGTCAATTTAAATATCTGTATCCTTGCCAAACTTTTTGTTTACAGAAGTTACTCTAAAAATAATAATGAATGATCAGTAAGGTTAAAACTGGACCTTAAAGAATAAATGTACAAATCCAGGAAGCTAAAAGAAACCTGGCATACCTAGATAAAATGAGGTGAACACCCAGACATATTGCATTGAAATTTCCAAGGGTTCAGGACAAAAAAAGAATATTGAAGCTGGCCAGGGAGAAGCAGAAAACCTATAAAGGTACCCAATCAGGTTAACATTAAACTTCTCTGAAGAAACACTACAAGTGAGAAGAGAATGAAATGGAGTGGAGAAAATGGAACGGAGTGTTCCAAAACCTTAAAGAGAAAAACTGCCAACCAAGAATATTCTATCCTACAAGACACTTCTTCAGATATGAGAGAGGGATAAAGGCCTTTTCAGCCACAGAGAAGTTCAAGGAGTTCGCAAACACTAATGCACTCCTCCAAAAAATATTTGAAAGGAGCTTACACATGGAAACCAAAAAGAGGAACATACACAAAGCCTAAGTAAGGAAACAGATTAACCCACAAAAATTAAGAATAAAATGGCAGCAACAGACTATCACATATCAATAATCATGTTAAATGTAAATGGACTGAACTCATTAATTAAAAGATACAGAGTATACAGTTGGATCAGGAAAGAGAAACCAGCCTTCTGCTGCCCAGGAGACACACCTAAGCTCCAAAGAGAAACATAGACTCAAAATAAAGGTTTGTAAAACAATCCTACAAGCAAATGGGACTCTAAAGAAGGCAGGCACAGCCACACTTATATCAGAAAAAAATAGATTTCCAGTAAAGAAAGGTAACAAGAGATAGGGAGGGACAATATATAGTGATAGAGGAAATGATACATCAGGGAGACAGAGCAATCATCAATGTACATGCACCAAATGAAGGGGCACTAGGCAAATACACTAGGCAACTACTATCAACTCTGAAAACAAACATTGGAAAAAACACATTTGTGGTAGGAGATGTCAACTCCTCACTCTCACCAACTAGGCAAAAAATAAACAGGGAAATAATAACCTTCAGTAGGGAATTAGACCTCATGGACCTCATAAACATATACAGGGCACTGCAACCCCACCTCACCCCCCAAAAAAGAATAATACACATTTTTCTCAAGAACACATGGGACATTCTCCAGAATAGACCATGTTCTGGGACACAAAACAAATATTAACAAATGCATAAAGACTGAAATCATACCCAATATCTTCTTAGACCATAAAGGTCTCGATGTAGAAATCAACTATCATAAGAAAGCAGGGAAATCTTTTAATACATAGACTGAACAACACATCACTGAGAGACCACTGGGTTAATAAGGAAATCAAAGAATAAATTAAAAAATACCTTGAGACATATGAAAACAGCACACAACCATCCAAAATTTAAAGGATGCAGCAAAAGCTGTACTAAGGAGTAATTATATGGCAATACAGGCCAACATCAAGAAACAAGAAAGATCTCAAATAAATAACCTTCTCCCTCAATTGGAGGAATTAGGAAAAAAAGAACTAACAGAGGAAAAGAACTAATGAAAATCAAAGCAGAAGTAAATGAAATAGAAATTAAAAAGTCCAAAAGATCAATGAAACCAAAAGCTGGTTCTTAGAAAATAGACATACCTCTAGCAAGACTCACCAAGAAAATAAGGGGAAAATCTCAAATACATAGAATCATACAGCATCACAACAGATGCTGTAGAAAGTCAGAGGATAGAGACTATCATGAACATCTATTTGTGAACAGATTCAATAACCTAGAAAAGATGGACACATTCTTAGAATTATACAATTCTCCAAGACTGAATAAGGAAGAAGTAGAAACCCTGAACAAACGAATAACAAGCAGGGAAATTGAAACAATAATCAAAACTCTCCAAAAAAAAATAAACAAAAAACCCAAGATTCCAGAACCACATAGCTTCACAAGTGAATTCTACTAATTCTTCAAAGATGAACTAATACCTATCTTGCTCAAACTCTCCAAAAAACTGAAAAAGAAGTAATACTTTCAAATTCTTTTTATGAGGCCAACATTAACACCAAAACCAAACAAAAAAATGCAAAAAAATTACAGACCAGTCATTCTAATAACAGACACAAAAGTCCTTAATAAAATTCTAGCAAACCAAATCCAGCAATGATTTAAAGGAACCTACACCATGACCAAATGTGAATCATACCAGGAACACAATAATGGTTCAACATCCAAAAATATTTTCACAGCACACATCTGACAAAGCTATACAAAAACTCGTAAAACTACAAAAACAAAACAAATAACCCTGTTACAAAATGGGCAAAAGAACTAAATAGACTGCTCCAAAGAAGAAATTTAGTCAACGAAGCTGTGAAAAAGTGTTCACAATCACTTATTATTAGAGAAATGTAAACCAAGACTACAATGAGAGACCATCTCACACCAGAGAGAATGGTCCATATGAAAAGACCAGAAACAAGTGCTCATGAGGATGTGGGGCAAAGGGAATCCTCCTATACTGGGAATGGAAACTGGTCCAGCCCTCACAGAAAGCAATCTGGAGATGTCTCAAAACATTAAAAATTGATCTGCATCCGACCCACTAATTCCACTCCTAGGAATCTACCCAAAAAAATATTTCAAAAACACTAATTCAAAAGGAAACTTGCATTCACTCCCATGTTTACTGCAGCACTATATAACAGCCATATTATAAAAACTACAGAAGTGTCCCCAGAACAGAGGAGTGGATTAAGATGTGCTATATATACACAATGGAATATTACTCAGAGATCAAAAAAGATAAACTCATGCCATTTGTGGCAACATCAGTGGTGCTTGAAGGGATAATGCTAAGTGGAATAAATCACTAAACTAAAGGTCAGATAAAAACAAACTTAAAAACACTACCATTGATAGCTGACTATAGAAATAAAGCAACAGGTAGGGAGGGAAGGAAGAAGGGGTAAGAACAAAGTGGGAAGGAAACACAATGGTTTATGGTGGTAGAGTATGGGTGAGTAGGTGGTGGGTGCACTGTGGTGGGTTCCCCAATTACATCAATTATAAATAAATAAATAAACAAATAAATGACCTTCAATTATCGAACTTTTGGTTTGCTTTTTTTTTTAATTTGAATTTGTTCACTTTATTTAATTTTAAAATCTAATGAAATATCTCACCTTGTGATGCCCAAATTCATTCAGAATGGTTCCCAGTTTTCTGGTGTTGCTCTGTGGCTTGTGGGCAGCAACAGCTGGATGGGGATCCCTCCAGTCAATGCACAGGCGGTGATACCAAAGACGCTGGCTTTCCAAAATGTGAGCTGATTTGACACTAGGGTCAAAACGATGCACTTCACATCCACTGTTGGCCATGCTGACCTCAAAATGATTATCATCACTTCCCAGCCTATAAAGGAAAAGAATAGAAATCAATGACAAAACTAGCAAAGAACTGAAAGAGAGATGAAAAAGATTTACCTATGTATTTATCCCTTCTCAAGTTTACTCCTCCACTTCCACCCCTACTCTTGAAATACAACCCTATACATGAAGGATAAAATAGGTGAGTTTCTTCACTTCACTTTAGCTACCACCCTCAGCCCCTACCTCCCTTCCATCTCCCCACATCATCCCTCCACTAGACACACAAGATTTATAGGGCAGGCCTCACCTAAAATTGTACAATAGACAATACAGATTTCCTTCACTTTGCAAAAGTAGAATGTTCCTATTTTGATAAGATTTAGTAGGTTATTGGGAAGTTTGGGAAGACTTTTTTTCATATAAATTAATAGTAACTAAGTTTTTCCTTATAAATTAATAGTAACAGCATTCCCAATCTGAAAAATAAACTACTGAGTCATACCAAATTGGAATGTTCTCCTTTGGGATAGCAGGGGAAACTTGTATTATCATCTGAACCCACAGCCTCTCCTCATTTTGCTTCCCCTTTCCTGTAATAAAGTCTTCCTCTTCATTGTCCTCCCCTATTTTAATTGGCTTATTTTACCCAATTTTGAAACTGACAAGTATCTGATTTTAACTTTCATCTGAATTTCAGAGTTCACTCTCCTGGGGGGGGAAAATCTTTTATACTAACTGGAATAAAGGCTTTGACTCCTAGTAAAGAAATTTCAGACATCAGAGAGGAAATTTAGGCGATACCTGCTTCAGTTCTTGGGGGGTGGAGGAAAGGGGAGAAATTGATCAGAAGGCAGGGAAGTTAGCCTTTGTCTCTTGACTCCCAATGTCCTCAGATCTCTTATTTCCTCACTACAGGAAGCTACTCCCAGTTGTAGCACATAATCTTGGTTAGGACAGGAAGGACTGGGCAGAGCAGTGGCATGGTGCTATAGCCCCAGGGTTGGAACACATGCTGCCTGGATGTAGGGGCCCACCACCCCCCTGCCACCCGCCCTCTCCACTTGCCTCGATAGTATCCCATCACTCCCAAATGGTCCCAAGATCCTCCCCTGTTCTTGTATCTCATTTGAGCAACACCACTTCTGGTCTTGTTCTTTAATGTCCCTCAGCATCAATTGAATCAATTGACATGTCAGCTGGCTATTTGTCTGTTCCCCAGACAAGTAATTCACCTGAGAAGAGAGGAAATATTTGTCTGGACCCTCAATCCTGAGGAACAGTGAAGTGCAGCACATATATTCACAATGTATGGTTTTTTAAGCCATAAGAATTATTTTCTTTAGTTTCTAATAAACATTTTCAGGTTTTGAACCACATGCTGGTCCTTATAATCTATGCATTTCCTATCCCAGTGGAATTCAACTGTTCTTATCTGCTCTTACAAAGTTGATTTTAAACTGTGAACATCTAGCAAATGGCCAACAGGCATATGAAAAAATGTTCAACATCCTTTATAATCAGAGAAATGCAAATTAAAACCACATTGAGATACCACCTTACACCAGTAAGAATGGCACATATCAAAAAAACAAGCAACAACAAATGTTGGCGAGGATGTGGTGACAAAGGAACTCTACTACATTGCTGGTGGGAGTACAAGCTGGTCCAACCACTATGGAAAGCTGGCTAGAGTTTCCTCAGTCTACTAAAAATGGAGCTACCATATGACCCGGCAATTCCACTCCTAGGGATCTACCCAAAGGGCACAAAAACACTGATTCAAAAAAACACCTATATCCCTATGTTTATTTGCAGCACTATTTACAATAGGTAAAACCGGGAAACAACCCAAATGCCCAAAAATAGATGACTGGATCAAGAAGATGTGGCATGTATACACAATGGAATAATATTCAGCAATCAAAAAAGATAAACTCATGCCATTTGCAGCAACATGGATGGCGCTAGAAGGAATTATGCTCAGTGAAATAAGCCAGAAGGAAAAAGAAAAATATCGGATGGTTTCACCTATAGGAGGAATATAGGGGAACCAAATAAGACATCAGTGTAAAAAAATAATAACAGTACAAAACACAACAAAGCAAAAAGGGACAATTATAAATCAGAGACATCCTGTAGGGGAGGAGGAGGGAGAGGGACCAGAGGGAGGAAGGGAGGAGCACAGGGGGCTGAGGTGATAGTGCACAGGTGCATTGGTGAAGGAAACTCTATGGGGACTACACCTGGGAGGGGAAGCAAATATTATTCAAAAATGAAAAATGATGTAAAAAATAAAAAAATTAATAAAAAAATTTAAAAAATTAACTGTGAACATTTAAATGAAAATAAGAAACTACCATTTTACATCTAATCGTCTGATTTTACAGAACTATCTTATCTAATGGCTTTGAAATAGAGGGAAAGCAAAAGGAAATTTAAAAAAATTTCCCCGAACCATCTTACCCAATATATGTACTCAGCTATATCCTTTAAATGAAATTATTGTAGGTTGTAAAACATTGAGCAAAACATAAAGTCAGTTTAGAGCAAAAAAATTGGACCAAATGAGATCTTTAATTTCCATGTGATACTATGCAATTGTTTTTATGACCTACTTTCATACATTTTTAATATGATATAAAATAAACTCTTGTCACAACTTCCCATTCTTCCTACAATCTTGAAGTATAGTTGGTGGATTCCCAGAAAAAAAACTCTGTTCTAATCAACTTGGTTAAAGGACTCATTTCGAAATCCTCAGCCTACAAGTTTGTTTTTTGTTTGTTTTTATTGAGGGAATTGGTTTACAACACTGTATGTTTTACGAATACAAGTTCACACCTTTTCAAATGCACATGACCACACCACACCCACCTCCAAAGCACCAGCAATCCTCCACCACAGTACACGGGGGTCCCTTCACCTTTGCTCCCCTCTCCCTTCCCCTCTGGGAACCTCACTTCTTCATTTGTTTTATTTTGTTTCTATCTGTTATTTTGTTTTGTTTCTTTATATTTGACATAGGAGTGAAATCATACAGTATTTATCTTTGTTCTTCTGACTTATTTCACAGCATAATCCCCTCATTTCATCTGCTTTGTAGCAAATGGCAAGATTTCCTATCTCTTTAGAGCTTAGTATTCCATTGTGTATATACACCACATCTTCTTTATCCAATCATCTGTCGTTGGGCAGTTGGACCATTTCCTATCTTGGCCATTGAAAACTCTAAGTTTAAATCACTGGCATAACCAGCTTTCCTCCCTAATCTCCTTACCTCAAGCAATCCATATGTAGCAAATACCTACTCTGTACCAAGCTCACTAATACATGCCATTGATCTTCAATTAATCCATAGAAGAATGTTTCTAGGATCCTGAAACTATCATTTGAATATTTCATTTTTTAAAAAAAAATCTGCAATAACTATAAGAATTCTTGTTTGGTAACGTTTGACAGCAATGGAGATTCTCTACAATCAACATCTTTGCAGGACCCTGGATTAAGGCCTGTCCTTATTCAGTACCATTTGGGATTCTGGTTGGCACTTTCACTCATGGGCCTGAATAGAAATTATAGATGTGATGAAAGCTATTGATGAGGAATGAGCTTGTGCTTGTTAAGGTCCCCAGTACTTCTGTGAAGGACTCACAGGAACTAGCTTGAGATTCTAACTGCACAACTTTTATGAAATATGGTGGATAGGGGGATCTGAACAAAAATAATTTGCTCCCACCTTTTATTGTTACATACCCCTTTAAAAGTTCAGGAGTGTTTATATAAGTGCTGGTGTATATTGGGTGAAAGTATATCATTACGTTATTCTCACCCTTTTACAAAATGTCTCACCCTTTTACAAAATTCATACCTTTGGGTGAATTTCAGACTAAATAACTGGATATTAATATTTCCCACAGCTTTGACAAAAATCACATGGTTTCTATAAGCATTCCCTTTTTTTCTTTCATTTTTAATGAAAAGTATGCACAGATTTACCAATGGCACAGAACATAAAACTCCAACAGTGACCATTGGTCTTGGGTAACTCATCATAATCGTGTATAAAATTTCTAATATACTTACTGTTCTATTTTTTTCTAGGTACATTTAATATTCTTCTCCCTTTATAAGGGTGCTCTCATTCTAGTTGGAGATCACTGGCTTCACCAACAGAATCATCCTCATGCTGAAAACTGAAGTACCAGCAGCATGGGGGGAAAAGTGGTCAAGGTCACTTTGGGTGACTTGCAAGCCACAGCTACACAGCAGACAGGTAGGCTGAAATGACGACAGGAGGCCAAGTATGACACCTGTCCCACAGTGCTACCATTCATCACTTTGTATTGCTGGAAAAGACTTGGCTTCCTACAGGAGGATTTTTGTTGTTTTTTTTTTTTTCCTGCTGCTGTAAAATTACTTACCCTAAAGAGTAGAGGCGACACTGCTTGTTGCGGATTTGATGAGCTAAGCCAAACCTGTCATCAAGACAGACAGACCAGGGCTTCTTTGCAGGGCTGGAGTCAGTAGCCAGGCTGTCTGTGCTCATGTGATTGCATGCAATCTGTAAGGATTGGAAATCAATGTCAAAAATTTAAAGTGTTGTATGATAAGTGGCAGGTAAAGACTTACTGCTTCCTCAGTCCCTGAAAACCATATTGAGAGAGTATGTTCCTCTCCACAGCTCGCTATTCCCCTCCCCAGGGAAACACAAGACTGCTGTAAAATGTTTGGAGGAATTCCAAATACCAGATTATAAGTAACCTCATGGAGACTATAGGCGGGTTTGAAAGGAAGTTAAGAACTATCACCACATGCATTGTGTGTGTGCTGAAAAATACATCAGAAGCAAAGATGGAGGAAGGAACAGAAAAAGATTTGCAGTGATGTGTTAGTCTTGGAGGATGAACAGGAGGCTGACACCAAGAAGGGCATTCCACGTGTGAAGACAGTGCTTGTGTAAACACAGAAGTCTTTGTTATCCACAGTGTTCCCACTAGAAGTTGTAAGAGCCAACTACTGTATAGGTCTCAGTAGGATACAGGATTACCTATTCCTTATCTTAGGCAGATAAAGTAGGCCACTATAGTGCAGAAAGTTGGCAAGAGTTATCTAAGGTAAAGAGCTGATTTAGGGGGTCAGGTGAAATTAATACACTGTCCTGTAGCCCCTGCCAACAAAACAATTTTCTTCAGCATACTCTGTTCTAATAAGCTTCTTTCCGGGGAAGAAGGGCAACAGCCCCTGGCAGGAAGGCTCTTCCTGAGCTAACCAAAGCACTTCCCTTAACTTATCCATCACAATTAGGTAAGACAACCAGAGAACATGTATCTAAGTTCAGCTGACGCAAGGCTCTAATTTCCAACTTTGTAAGGTATTCTGACTTGTGTCTGAGGCTGGTATGGTGTGCATGGATGAGGTTGCTGGAATCAAAGAAGACAAATCCTGTGACCAAGGTATGTACCTTAATGAGCAACAGTATTTGCTCACACTCTCACTGCCATCACCATGTTCCATGAGTCAAGCAGCAACTCTAGTCACATTGGAAACAAATGACCTCTCCAGGTGCAAAGGATGTTTTGAGGTTCTTTGCTTTGCTGCATTGGAAACCATGACTGCAAACTGTTTTCTTCTTTCTTCTCCTTTCTTTTTTCTTCTTTTCTTGCCCAGTCCTACTATTGAACTAATTTTTGCCATAATCTAATATTTAAAAATAAAAATATTAGGTGGAGCCTATTTAATGCTGTATCTTCCTTCCTTTTGCTATACTCTAGGTCTGTCCAGGCAAAGCCATTCTAGCACATTTATCAGTGCCTATGAGAGTCTTCTGCTAAGATTTGGACTTTATATAGATAGAGGAAAGCTTAAACAGTGAAACCCTTCATATTTATTCTTTTCACCCATTCCAGTATCTTCCTACTTCTCTCTTGATAACCTAAGGAAACAATAAAAATAATAGTAATGGTAATAATTATAATAGAATGTAGAATTGAATCTTCTCTCAAGAAACTAGTATGGGAGCACATGTATTAAGTGTGTACATCAACATGCTAATTTGTATAATTTCCTACTATTCTGCCACAAATAAGTGGAAATTATACTTCTGACTGCCTACCTCCCAGTCCCTACTCAAGGAGGAGAAGTTACTAACCTAGTTAACGAGAGTTCACTGGGCCTGTTTTGCCAGTGGGCAGGCGACTGCACCCTCTTTGCCTCTGCTCCATGCCCTGCCCCCTCGCCCCCAGGCAAGTAGCAATTTGTATCTCAAATCTCAATTCTGTAGCACCCCTAAAGCATGCCTGGACCTCATAAGCCTAAGCCATTTGCTCCAGGACAACTTCCTGCAGTATTTTTATTAAAATAGAATAATGATTCCCAATTGTATTGTTCATATGTCCCTCCCCAAGGGACTCCAGGATAATAACAGATCAAGATTTAAGTGTCCACAGATTCTTGTTCCTCATTGCCTTCTGACACCACTGAAACCTAACTGTAGCCTCTCCCACAGTGTTTTCAAGGTGTGGTCCACCGACTTGCTGATGACCCTGGCAGGTACTCAGAAACGAAGCTCTTGGGTTCCACTCCAGATTTGTAAAACCGGGATCTTTGAGGCTGACACCTGGGAACATGCAGGGTTTTTTTTGTTTGTTTGTTTTTTTAAGGAAATGTGGGTTTTTTTTTAAGATTTATTTTTATTTATACAAGAACCGGGGTACAAGTGCACAGGAGGGTGAGAGGATTCACCAGAGACAGAGTGGGGAACAGAACAGGCAGACTGACGAATTACACTGCTGAGGGGAGGAGCGGGCGAGACAGAAGTCTGCTCGCCATGTGGGTTGCTCCAAGGCCGGTGGGGATTGAACCGGCACTGCAGAGGCTGCAGACAGCTTCACAGCGCTGCGCTGAACCGCCAGGCCACCAGGGAAACTTGGAATGTGCGTTTTTATTAGTTCCCCCCACATGATTCTGGGCAGGTGTTTCTGATGCAGGGGGTTAAGTTTTTTGGAAGAGTTTGTAAAACCCCACAGATAATATTCTAACCTGGTCTTATTTGTACCTAAGCAAATTAGGGGATGAGGTTAAACCTGAGCTTTAAGCTGAAAATAGCAGCCCCTTCAACCTCACCCCTAAGAAAGGGCCATCAAGGTGGGTACTGACAATTAGCTAGAGGCCTCCAAGAGTCAAGTAAGTACTAAGCATCAAGATCCAGGGGTCTGAGGCTCAGCTGCTCCTCCTTTGCCAACATTGGCAAGTAGGGTTTTATTCTATTAAGGTTGACAAATTTAAGCATCTCTCCTTCTTTCTGTTTCTCCTTCCCCTTATTGGAAAGACATTCATTTAACCTTTCTGCTAATGTTTCCTTTCCTCTCCTAGCTCAAAAATAAGACACAGGAGTTTTTCCACTTTAGCCATTCATTAACCATCTCATTGACAGATAGTAGCTTTTGAAAACAACTCATTAAAATTCTACTCCTAAAAATTAATTAAATATTGATTTTTCAAATTTTATTCTTAAGATTTATAACCAGGGCTTCCATAAACTCTCCTGCAAGGAAAACAAGTGAGGGCAGTAACTCCCAGTTAAGATCCTGCTCCAATAATTATGTTCTCTCTTCTCTCTTTCAAATTCACCTTGTAATTTTAGCCACATAAAGCAAATTAGGCCTGGACGAAGGAAAATAGCCTCTAAGACAAAAATATCTCCTAAAATGCTTTTTGTTTAAGTTGTTTAAGTTAAAGGGATCCCACTTAGGGCCTCCCAGGTGGTACAGGAGTTAAAGACACAACGCTACCAAGCTATTGTCAGCCACTGCAACCTGAGTTCGATCCCTGGTCAAGAAGATAACCCACATGGTACAGCAGACCTCTCCTGTCTTGCCTGCTGCTCCCTCAGCAGTGTATTTCAGTCAGTCTGTCTGTTCTGCTCCCCACTCTGTCTCTGGTAAATTCTCTCACCCCCACACCTCTGGCCTACAACCCAGTTCTTGTATACATAAATAAATAAATCTTTTTTTTAAAAGGGATCCCATTTATTTTCATTTTGTTTTATATCTCAAAAGCTTGAATGGCTTATCTACCAACCCATAAGTACAATCTGGCAAAGGGAGGCTTAAAATTTGAGGACTTTGGGCAAGAATTTCGTCAATGATCGACTAAATGTTTATATAATGTCATGATTTTGAAAGTCTCAAGTTTAAAATTATATTTTTGTTGCTTTTATCCCAATCCATGTGTGTGTATATATAATAGCTACTGTTATTATAAAGTTGTAAGTTCCATATCTGCAGTCTCTGTTCCTATGTTATTCTTACAAATAGAAAATAGGTCGGTGACCAGATAGTGATGGATGGATGGAGAGAGAGAGATTGTAACATTTTTTTTTCTTTTTTAAAACACAACTGTTGCTTAGATTAATTTTGTATTGCAAGGCATGCTTCCTGGAGGCATATGGTTTGGGGGTTGCCATAAAAAGCTGGATCTGGAGCCTTTCCGTAGAACAGAGCACTGTGTGTTTATAAGTTAACCATTTCTTGTTAGCAGCAGGCGGTGTCTCATTGACTCCAGAACACTGCGATGCAATCATGGTCTTTCATATTAAAAAATAATGCCTAACTAAACTGAGCTTGATGTTCTGCACATTCTGCCCAAATCCTCTCGTGTTTCACTTTAAAATGCAGGATCCCAGCCATGCCACCAGGGTCACAACGAACAAGTGCAGAAGCTCCAGCTCCATTGCAGTCTAATGCCACACTGCTCCGTGTTTCTGCCCTTCTGCTCCTGAGCTCCCTAGGCCTGAGCAAGCACCCCCAACCCTCTGTACACCCTGCTAGGGAATACATAACTCTCTTACCCCCTAGCTGTTTATTAATATGTATAGGTATTTAACTCAGATTTGTTGTCCAAGTCAATGCCAGCAACAGAGCAGGTGTTCAACAAATAATGCCTTGCCAAGTTGAGGAATGAATGCATCGATGACGAAGATATTAAAATGATGGGTCTTGCTGTAAAGGCCTGAACACAGATTTCAGGGAAAAAATTATTTTTTTATTTCACAAAGTAGCAAAAGAGAATGGGGGCGGAATTTGCTTAGTACCTTGAGGATTTTTCCATGCCCATTATGACTCACTACGGCTAACTGCTAACTGAATTTTGCAGTAATAGTGACTCTAATATTCTGCTAGTTTTGTAGGCTCTCATTGTCAAGATGAGTTCTAAATGAGGCATAAGCCCCCAAACCAGTCAAAATCTCTGCATTACTTAGAGAGGTAGAGGGAGCACTAGTTAGTGAAAGATTCTGATTAGCCACTAATTAGTGTGATCTCTGACCAGTTCCTCATGACCTAGAAGTACACAGAAAACACAAGACTTTTCCTGGGTAAAATGACAGCAGGTTACAAAACCATTGAGAGGCCTGAATCTTTGCCTTATTCTTTCAGGGGCACAAAATTCCTTCTAGTGAACTTCAACAACCAGATCCTGATTTTTGTATTCATCAAGCTGAGTAACAATTATATGTCTATTGACTGGTCTTCTAAACAAGTCTGTTAGCTGCCTGAGGGCAGAGACTGTATCCAGAGGGCCTGAAACAGTTTCTGGCATGTGGCGAGTACTCAAAAGTACTTGGTTAGTAATAATCCTACACTATTCTCAGTACAGTACAAACTCACAAAACTGGAAGGACCCCAAGAAAAAAAATACAATCTCTTCTTTTTCAAGATCAGGACAGCAAGAGCCAAAAAAGCAAATAAATTGCCCAGGGCCACAACAACAGACTACATCGCAGTATTTTTTTAAAGAATTTTTTTCTAGGCCTCGCTGGCGGCACAGGGGTTAAAGTCTCAGTGCTATCAATCTATGGCCAGCCATTGCGGCATGAGTTCGATCCCCAGCCAGGGAGCTAACCCACAAGGTGCAGCAGACCTCTTCTGTCTCTCCTGCTGCTCCCCTCAGCAGTGTATTTCAGTAGATCTGCTTGTTATGCTCCCACTCTCTCTGGTGAATTCTCTCACCTCCTGCAACTCTGGCCCAGTTCTTGTATGCAGAAATTAAAAAAAGAATTTTTCTCCCATAACTCACGAGAAATATGTAGAGGCCTTGGAATAACCCTTTTATGCCTTATGAGCTTCTTCTAAGTAAATACACCTTTCTATAAGCTATAGAACATTAAACTGAAATATATTTAAAATGGAATTGGAGGCTTTCCCTTGGTCAAACTCAACTCATAAAGTTAACAACTCTCATTTGTCTCTGGGCCTTTAAGGGCTTCCTCAAGTTGCAGTTAAGAGTGCAGCTTCCTATCCTTTATGTAAAAATAAGCCATAAAATAAAAAATTCAGCATTTTGATTAAGTCTATATAAATCCACCAAATTAATTTGCAGCAGCAAAATAAGATGAAATTATGTAAAGCACAGGGAGCAATGTATCATACTATCTTCATGATGAATGATGAAGTCAGTGGCTTTTACTTCCAGGTCTAGGTGACATATATCAAAATCCCTGATTGTCTGACTGCATCATATGAGAAATGAGACTTTCTTTTACCCCTGCATTGGCCTTTCAGAGATCTAGAAATATATTCTCTCCCATGGATGAAAAATGGCCTTTGCTGCCAGCCAGGTTTCAATGGAGCAGAATGCCAGGAACTGGGCTGAAGGGAGAGCAAAGGAACCAGAGATCCCCTGTGCCACCCCAGCTCCCCAGTGCAGATTCCTGAGCAGACCTGGGCACATCCCACAGGCAATGTGCATTCCTACTTCATTAGCACCTTTTAATTCAGGGCAAAGTTTTCCCTCAGGCCCTCATTTCCTCATAAGTCCCTCTTTCCCTTAGATCAGGCTACTGGAGAATAGACTCTCCTGATGAATGTGTCAAGAGTCACAGATGCTCCTTAAATGACAGTCTTTGCCTGCTAGGAGCACTAACTTGGCCTAAGGAGCTGGGCAGGAGCTGCCACAAAGCATTAAGTCACTAATAAAGGACGTTGCTCGGTAATGATTTAAAGTGCCCAAGGAATAGAGAGCCTTTGGATTCATTATCTTCGCCTTGGAAAATCCCCCTGCTCTCTGGCCTAGCGCGTCCCTGTCTGCCAAGTTTCTGTGGCACAAAAGCAAAAAGGCAGATTCCTCCAAATACAAAATGCAGCTTGAGCCTCCAGATGATAGTTTTGTTTTGTGACACACTTGACTGCCTACTCATGGGCACGAATCTGTCACTTCAAATGGTTTCTTTCCAAAGCAATTTTCTAAAGTGGATCTTTAAAACACGTTGAGATGAATCATTAAAACATTTCAGGATGACGATACTCCTGGAAGGGAGAAGATGTTGAAGCAAATGGAAGGCATCTTATCTGCCTCGAAGTGAATAGATAAATTTAAAGAGCAATGCCACAGAAACCAAGTCCCTATCAAGACTCTATCATGAGTTGTTGAGAAGTTCCCCACTCCCTCATTGACAAATCCTTCTTTAAAAGGAGCAATCAGTATCTTTTACATCATCTCCAAATCCACACGAGCATGAAATACAACCTGGGTGGTGCTGATATATCTCAGGAACCTCAAGGCTTCTTCATCCAGGGACTGGGCAGGGCCTGCCCAAGGTTGGAGATCTATATGCCACCGGGGACCCTAGGAGAGACAGAAAACATAGGGTGGTGTGTATGGAACAAGGAGCTGGGGGTGGGGGTGGGAAGGATAGGGTAAAAATAGGCCAGGCTGCTAACCACCTGCAAAACAAACGTCTGTGCACACGATGAAGATAGCAAGGGGCTGGTTGGAGCTGTTGTCATTAAGTCTGCATCAGTCACAGGAAGACAAATGAAGCCTGAGAAAGCCCAGCTACCAGGTTATGCAGAAACTGAAAGGTCTGGGGACATCTAGAGCTTCTGATTAAACACAAACTCTATTTGACCCCATCAGGCCTGCCCAACTTCAGCTTGTATTGCAAGGTGCCACACCCATATCCCCCTATCTCTGATGGTTTCTAAAGCTGAGGCTTCAGAAACATGTGCCCCTTGAGGGCCAGTTTGTTGTTGCTATTGTTGCTGCACTGTAAAGCCTGAAATTCTCAGGAGACTTGGGGATCCTCCCCAGCACAGGAAGACTAGGCAGATGCCCACAGGGTTACAGAGATCACCTCTGCAGCGAGGACCCCAAAGCAGTCATCCCCAGGGCTGGTAAGGGCAGCCTTCCAGCAGTGAGGCAGCCCTCACCTCTCCCCAGAGGCCTTGAGAAGCTCCTGTGAACAGAGGGTTAGAACCCTGAGCTCCCTTTGGTAGCAAGGGTGGCAGAAAGGCCAGGGTTTGGAAGAAACAAAAATGGGGTCAAGGAAGCCCCAGTCATGTTTGTGCTGGAGCTCAGTGTGCCCACCTCACCTGCCTCAGCCTCCCAGAGGCTCACTGTGATTCCAAGGACAGAGGGTGGGAAAGGACTGAGGGCAGGAGAAACTCCCCAACAGCAGGTACAGAGAATGTCTAGTGTCAGTAAAGACTTTGGGTGTCTTGGTACAGGTTCCTGCAGTCGGCAGGATGGCCCCTAACCCCCTTTTGCAGCGAGGAAGGGGTCAGTGGAGGGCTCTGGAGAAAAAACAAAGGGACCATTATGTATATACACTGTTCTTCAGTCAAATATTACTATGGTCTGAAAGTCTGTGTCTCCCCCAAGTTCATATGGTGAGCTCCTAATGCCCAGTGTGATGGACTAGGAGGGAGGGCTTTGGGCGATGCTTTGGTCATGAGGGTAGAATCTTCATGAAAGGGATTAAGTTTCTGAAGAGACCCTGAAGAAGCCCCTAGCCCCTACCACCATGTGAGAACAAAAGAGAAGGCAATTTGAAAGAGGGCCTTCACCAGAACCCAACCATGTTTGCACCTTGATCTGAGATTTTTCAGCCTCCACAACTTTGAGCAATATACATCTGTTGTTCATGAGTCACCCAGTCTGTGGTATTATGTTATGGCAGCCCAAGCAGACTAAGATGTGTGTGATGGCAGAAACTATGACCCAAAAAAGAAACATCTAAGCAGGCCAGACCTGACATGCTTTAGTACAAATATGTTTTATTTTTTACTTAAAAAAAAAATCTATGTATAGTTTTTAAAGTGTTTACTCCATCAACAACATATAAGTAGTAAAGTAATAATATATGGTGTGATTTTAATAAAACACCAAACGCCCACTTGCTTTGTTGTCCCTAGATGACATGGCCCAAGTGACCTGGGGTTGAACCAAAGCAAGGCAGAGTGGTGAGTCCGTGGGAAGCCAGCTCTGTGGGCCTGGGGAAGAGGAATACATTCTGTGAGAGGTTCTGAGATGAATAAAGTGCTGTCCCAGCTCAAGCAGAATTAGACTCACATCTTTGCAGAGTCCCCGGAGCCTGGAGACTATGCCATCCTGCAGTAGCTGAGCACCCTGCAGTCCTCCAGGCCTCAAGAGCCTTCACTGATTTCCCACAGGCTGCCTTTCCAGCAGTCCTTAAGCCAGGGTCGTTTTCACAGGTTTGCAACCTGCACAGCCTTAGAAGGACCTGTTCTTGGCTTATGCTTTGCTGACCCTTGAAATTCTTAATAATTTCTGAACACATTTTTGTTTTATACTGAGTCCTGCAAATTATTAGTCAGTCTTCCCGAAGGGGCACCTTTTCTGGGAAAACGGCCTTTTCGTATAGCTGTTCTTGCTCTGTGAAGGTTGAGCAAGCTGAAGCTCTAGTCTGAGGTAGCCTGCAAACACGCACCATCCATCTTCTCAGTCAGCCTTCCACCCCCATTTCCTCTTTCCTTCTCTGAATTAGATTTTGTCGCCATTTGATCAAACAATATTTATGGCGCATCAGCCACTGTGTGCCAGGTACTGGTCAACAGATATGAATGAAATACTGGACTCTCCCAAGACGCACTCACAATGTAGTGGGGGAGAATGATAGATATAAAGTAACTTTGAAAGGGAAAAGTTGAAACATGAGGGGGAGCCATTCTTTGCAGGAAAAGTCTTAATCATGAAATCATAAATTAAAAGCACATTTAAATACAAACAGCTCCTAGTTTTGCTTAGTCACATTCTTTTTTTTTTTTTTTAAGATTTATTTTATTTATACAAGAGCTGGGGTACAGGCCAGAGGCATGGGAGGGTGAGAGGATTCACCAGAGACAGGAGAACAGGCAAAAGGACCTGAATGAAAGCAGTGCTGAGGTGAGCAGAGGGGGGGCGAGACAGGAGAGGTCTGTGGGACCCCGCTGCGCCACAGGGGGAGGACCCCACATTCTTTTTGCATCCAACTACAAAGAATGCCTTCCCAGGTTGTCAACACGGGGATGCTTTGTGTAAGCTGATCCAGGCCTGGGGTTCAAAACTTCCCACCTCTCTGTCAGGGGATCCTTCACATATATCCCAGCATCTGACCCAGGTGCCTCCTGATAAAAATGATAATAAAGTTCACATGTTGTGGTTTTCCTCTAAATTGGTAAACTTTTCCTACTGAGGTCAAAGAACAACTATTTTAGGTTTTGTAGGCTGTCCAGTTTCTGTTGTAACTCCTTACCTCCTGTGTAGCTCAAAACAGCCACAGACAGTAAGTAGGCAAATGGGCATGGCCATATTCCAGTAAAACTCCAAAGCAGGCGGCAGGCTGGATTTGCCCAGCCAGGCTGTAGTTTGCTGACCCCTCCTCTACTTTATTCTAATTTAGATTAAATTGACCTAATTTGGATTCTAAATTGGCCTAGAAGAGAGTGTTTGCTTGAAATAATGTAAGCAGGGCAGATTATAAAATCTAGATTATAACCAATTTTGCCATCTGAGCTACTCGAGCAAATATCAGTCAGGGTCTCCACAGGAAATAGAGTGGGCTCTTCCAACCAGCTAATTTGAGAAGAATTTAATAAATAAGAGACCATTTACAAAGGTGCAGGCGGGGCTTAAGAAAATTAATAAGGAAAATTGCAATACCTGTGGCTACTAACTCCAGAGAACTCCTTCAAAGACAGGAAGGAATTTGTGGGACCCAAAGAGGAAAACAGTATGGAGAAAATCTTTGCTATATAAACAGAGTCAACGCTGTGAGACCCCAGGAGCAGGCAGAGAAGGGAAGGCTGTGAGTGTGGCACATAGGTCAGCCTCCCAAGGAGCGAGCAGGAGGAGCAGAGTGGAGAGTGGATGCCAAGTGGCACAGGGAAGGTCTCTTGCACAGCATCCTGTGGAAGGAGGCTGTGAGACTTGACCAGGAGGTGATTCTTTCACTCAGTGGATGTGTGTGCCTTATACCAAACCTTGTATTAGAGTTTTTTATAGGGCACAGTAAATGCAATATGCGTAAACCAATAAATGCAATACATATAAACCAATAAATCCAATATGTGTTGCCGGGGCTCTGACAGAAAGTTCTGCAGGGTACAATGGGGGCACAAAAAGGAGGAAGGAACCAAATGCTACTCCAAAATAAATGCCAGAAAATACAAATGCAGGCTGGGAAACAGTCTTCATTGCTGGAAGCCCAAAAGCCTCATTAAAGAGATACCTTAAATACAACAGAAACACATAACTGAGGCTAAGACACAAAAGTAACTTTACAGATCAGTAGTGGGGGGACTGTATGGGGGAACTACAGAAGCTTCTTAAAGATCCACAAACAGTATTCTCTGGCAATCTGATATTTCTCATTTCACTCTCACAAGTGTTGACCAACCACAAAGAAGCTAAACAGCAGCTGAAACAGTGAATAATGTAAGCTGAGGGGTCTCAGGTGGCGATATAACAGAAACAACTAGCAAATAGATGCCCTCAGAAGAGCTCTAGCTTACTGCTTCAGTTGCGCTGTTTAAAAAACATATCACATAAAGCAATGTTCTTACTGGCATCAGTCTGACAGCAGTTCATGATTATCTCCCCCAAGGAAATCACTAGCTTTTATCATCTCTTTCAATTATCATTTGTCTTAATTCTCTGGTGCATTCATCAATATTTGTCCTTCCAAAAATCCCAAAACAGAATTCTCTGAGCACCTTAAAACACCTATGACCAATCTTTAATATATCAAGGCCAAATATATATAAATAAATAAATAACAAAAAATCAAGAAAAATCTTTTTCTTTGAAAAAAATTATCATTATGATTTTATTCCAAACAATTTCAGAAATGCCAGGGCGCACTGTTATCCATGTGCTGCAAGTATCAAGTGACAGAAAAAGGCTACCCCCATGACTGCTGGGAACATGGGTTCCCAGTCCTGTCTGCCAGCCCCCCGCCCTTCCTCTTGGTGACTAAAGGAGCAGTTTAAGCAGGTGTAGAGGTACCACCCTTTGGGCTGGTCTGTCTGCCCCCAGCAGGTTTGATTTGAAATGGCAAAACAAATAGATACAAATGAGTTGCCACCAAGAAGCCCAAGCTCCTGATATGGGGGTCCCTCTCCTCTTTTAAAATCTGTGATCCTGCCCCCCAAACCGCCCCTAAACCGTCAGGCCACCCACACAAAGGAGCCCCTGCTCCAAAGTGACAAGTGGCTCTGGGAGGGCAGGGTCCAGATCTCTGAGGAAAGGAAGCAGCCCCTATTTTGTTTTGTGAAGGTCTTA